GAGGATATTATATTAACAATTAGAGGAGAATTTTGTCGTTTTACCAAGTAAAATATTTTGCACTTTGTTATTTGTTTTTATCATTGGTCAAAGGCCATTTAACCAAATACATTGTCTAGGGAGGTTAAATGGCCAAATTCCCCGATGAATTACCCTCTCTCCCTTTACATTTGTATTTATAATAGGTTTACTACTAGTAATAAGGCGAGTGGCACTCTAGAAAAAATGATGAACCGCATCCTAACGGTCCCCACATGTCCCGTGGACGAGGTAAATCGTAGGTTATGCTTGTATAAAGTGGAATACTGTTTATACACTTGTATTTATTCAAGAATCAAACGAACTCTTGACGCGACAGTCTCAAGCAAATGTGGAATTTTTCCACCTTCCATTTTTACCACTTGGAGATGTGCCCTTAGAGCGAGTGACACCCTAGAAAATTACACGATCTCCTCAACTAAGATATTCGTGGATTTTAAAAGATTATAAATAATTTCGTGAACTTTAATAGATTTTCACAAATTTCATGAGAATTTTATTAAATATGATGAAATTTTAAAAGATTTGATTATATGTATTTTTAAGCTTGAAATCCATCCAAATCTTTTAAAATCTATTCATTCATAAAGTCCTTATAAATTTCCTAGTGATTGAGGATACCTAAATCTTGAAGGATTTCATTAAAATTTCAATTGAGCACACCTAAATTTTAATGAATTTCATTAAAATCCATTAAAATCTCAATTGAAGACATCTAAATTTAGAAGAATTTTTAAAATTCATCACAATTTTAATTGAGGACGCCACCTTATGCTATTGACCCGATCAATTCAACTACCTAGAGTTAATTGTCCAATTAATCTTTGAACTTATCTTTTTATTTTTATTATTTATTGAAGTTTAAAATTTCCGGTGATTAATCGTATTTAAACGTCAAACATTTTTCACTGGCATAACATTCATTTCAAGTCTCTAAAGGAATTGGTAAGTGACTGACGAAATGCACAGGTAGCACCCAAACATCGTTACCCAATCTAAGATTACTTCAATTGCTCACTGTACTTTATAAGACATCTTCAATTGCATATTGAATTTTAATATAATCGAGTTTTGGTCATTAAACTTGTAAAAATTACGCTGATTGCCTGAAATGGACTTTGGTTTGAACATTTTTACTTTTAATTCACTATGTTTGAGTCACATTAAAATTTTCATTATCATTCTTCTACTCATTTTCATTCACACATTCTTCAATAAAATAATATTTTCCATCACATCAATAATTTTTCCTTCTTTTTCAACATTATATTCTCCATCAATCTACTATTCCAAAATACATTCTTCTAAAATAATGTGGCTCAAAAACACTATGATCTCAAGTTTTCCCACCTAATAACTCCACGAGTTGACGCAACTGTGTGATTTTATCACGTCTAAGTACCTCCTCTGCTAGGACTTCACAAGCTTCTTGACATCTCCTTGACGGCATGNACTCCACTTGTTGACGCAACTGTGTGATTTTATCACGTCTAAGTACCTCCTCTGCTAGGACTTCACAAGCTTCTTGACATCTCCTTGACGGCATGGTGAAGGAACGATTTCGAATCTGATACTAATTGATGCAGGGGAAGATTGTAGGAAAGACAAAAATCCACACAAAAAGAATTTCAACGAAAAGAAATTCAAGAAAACGTTTTTTGTTCAACATTGGGTTGCCTCAAAGGGGTTACAACGTTTAAATAGCGAAAAACCTAAGAAAATTCGAAAAAAATTACATAAGAATGAGAAAATATTTTTTTCAAAAATGAAAAAAAAAAAAAAAAAATTTGAGATAATAACGGATCTTGATTTTCATAATCACCGGGATCATCCCAAACAAACGAAAATCAAATCTGAGTTTATTTAACTAAAATATTGTCAAAATAAAAATTATCATAAACGGCAAAAATATTTAATTGAAAACCTAAACGACGGAATCTGCCCAAAATCTGAAATGCTTCAGAGCCAAAGGCCCTGAATTGTGATCATTAGTCCTTTTTCAATCTAATTAGACTAGTAATTCACCAAAATCGGACAAACTCAAAATTAAATGGAATTATTATTTTGCCTTCATCAATTTCAAACATCCAATTTCAAACATCCTTAGTAAAATTGTTATATTAGAAATCTCACGTCTCTTTCAAAATAACATCACGTCTTGCGTAACTCGAATTGCTTTGCACTCAAGGTGGAGTCTGGAGATTTCCATACATAGGCATTATGATAGAGTTTGATACAATCATTCAACAAGCAAAAGAATATACCAAAGATATACCCAATAAGGTTGAACAAAAGGAGGAGTTTCAAACACTGAAAAATTAACAAGTTTGTATAAAATTCGAATTATTTAAATAAAAGAGATATTTTCATTTGATTTTATACTAAATTATCTAACAAAGCGGTAAAAAATGTTTTTGTATCGAATTATAGATTATTGTAGTGGAATTCGAATCAACTTGTTCATATCTATTTCGCTTCTCAATTATGTAGTTTTAATCATATTCATGCGTTTCTTGACAACCGATAAAGTTAATGTATTTAATTTTTATTTTCAAGATAAATTAACTATATTCTAATCATGACTTAAGTCTATTCCTATCCAAAATTCAAATGATTAGAACGCATTAAATTTTATATTATTAATATGATTGCACACATGATAAACATTATTCATAATATCTATTGAATATATACTAATTTTGTCGCGTTCTAAATTTGTTGTAAGTCTTTCAACACTACAAGAATCAATTAATTTTCTAATTGGTGAGAGATCAATTAAATAAAATAATTGGCATCTCTCTCAAAATATAGTAATAGGCATCTTGTTCATGACGAATTTGATAATACTACTATGTATGACAAGGCAAGAGAGGTTTTTCAATGCGTAGCCCTTTGTTTTGTATTTATAAGAGCCAGAAAATAGGCTAAAATCACGTCTAATTTAGGTTTCAAAAGAGTTTGAATCGCGAAAAAAAGTTGTTGATTCATCTGCGAAAAAAGCCCATGCACGAGACAGTTTGGTCAGTGTCGTCCCCGGGCAGCTTTCTGTATTTTAGCCATAACCTTCTCTCCCCGATATTCGATTGAAGTGATTCAATGTGAGTTGGGAAAATAACTCAAAGGTCTACAATTCTTCTAGAGATACATTTTTTTTCCAATTCAAATGTTTGCTAACTGTAATATAGGTCTCAAGTTGAGGTTAAAAATTTGAAGCATAACTTCTTCGAATGAAAATTGATCTGTGAAAATATTTCAATATATTTCACTCATTTGACATCCAATTGCATCCAATTGATCATATGTAAGCTTCAATCATCATTTTATGGTCCGAATCAATTATTGAATGTTTAAACTTTGGTCCCCCAAGCTTTGAATTTCTTTCGTTTTTGCCCATTTTTCGTTCATTTCTTCTAATTCCACCACTTATCAGCATTCAACATAACTCTTTACGCCAATGTAGAACACAACATAAGCATTGGGTATGTAGTTTCTCTAGTAATTCGGGCTAGAGGTGTGAAAGCAACTTGACAGTTCGACCCTTATTTACTTCAAAATGGCTTGAAATAGATTAAGTTAGGCTATTTTCTCGGCTCGTTGCTTAGTTCAATCTTT